TTTTCGGCATCGGAATGGATTCATCAGGAGGGGTTGTCCATCTTCCAATGAATACAGCATTATCACATTCGCAACGTGAAAAACCAAGATTTTCTAGTGCGTTACACAATGTCGAATACCACGCAGCCGATGCTTGGTGGAGTCCATATAGCACCCGCCGTAAGCAATAAACCGCGGATGGTTGATTTTGTATAGGTCGTCCTGGAATCTGTTTAACATAGATTTCTTCCATTAATGGTGCGTTTAGGAACACCTGTTTAACGTCAAAGGAAAAAAGTTCTAGGTCCATGTGCGCTGTCCACGCCATAACGATTCGATACGAAACCATTCGGGTAACGGGAGCGTGAACATTACCGTAATCCTCAGGTCGCTGTGTAAAACCCTGTGCAACTAGTCGTGCCTTTTTCGTCCCATCGAGCTTGAGATCATAAACCATCTTTAGGCCAATGGGAAATTTATTCTTCGGACACTTCTCCGTTACCTCAAAGACTCCCAGCTCGAATAAACCAGTAATCTCCTTATCTTCTGCTAGAAGCCAATCCTGAGCGTCGGGTCGTAGTAGCATTTCTCGCCGTGTCAAAGGTGGTTTTTTCAGATCGAAGGTTCTTGGTTTCGAAGTTGTGCTGGGTTTGGTTGGGATAGGATTCAAAGGTCTGGGAATATTAGCTAGTGCCGCGAAGAATATGTCAGTGTCGTCTTCCAGACAGGTCAAATTGTCTTCGGTTATTTGGCATGCTAACGAGCATCCTGTAATGTCGTTGTTGATTTGGATTGTGTGGTTCGGTAGTAATCCATCATTAACACGTCGTTCCGCAATTAATTCGTCACGTTTTCTAATTCCATCCCTCCATTCTTTCCCTCGTTCGGTGAGTTTGACAGTACGGCGAGGATGCGGTCCTTGTGGAGGATCTGGGTGTGGTGCCAATGGTGTAGTTGATAGGGAATCCGGATGTGGAGTAGTTGATAGAGGAGTCTTTTCGGGAGGTTTTGAGGATTTCGGCCCATGTAGACGTCCGAATTGTGATTCATTGAAGACGACTTGATCTGAGAAATGATCTTTGCCTTTAGTATCTCGTACTCTCCAACCTATATGATTATCCTCATATCCTATAAAGATCCCTTCTATCATCTTGTCCCCAAACTTCAAACGAATGTCCTCCGAGACTTGGATCCAGCATTGACACCCCCATACCCGAAGATGTGAGAGATTCGGAGTCTTGTGGTGGACCATTTCGTATGGAGTTTTATTGTTTGGAAGTGTCTTCGTTGGAAGGCGGAAACAGATATACAGAGCAGTGCGAACTGCGTCTTCCCAAAATTGTAAGGGTAGTCCAGCATGTACCAACATCGTCATAGCATCATTTTCGATGATTCATACCCATCGTTCGGCTTTTCCGTTTTGTTGGTGGGAATACGCAGCAGTTTTCTGGACCGAAATGCCTTTCTCTTCGAAATATGAAGTCGCTTCTGAACCGTGGAATTCTTTTGCGCCATCAAGTCGAATGTTTTTGACTTTGTGAGGCGACATTAGGTTCTCCCATGTCGATATCGTCGTCTTTATAATCCGTAATGCCTGATTCTTCTTTGCAAAGCAGCCGCCGGATAATGCACTCGTGTAGTCATCAACAATAATGTTGAAGTGAGAACTATGGTGATTCGAGATTGTACCTATTGGTCCACACATATCGGTATGAATGAGTTCCAGTGGTGCTGACGCTCGGTTTCCGTGATATGGATAAGCAAATCGAGGATGTTTTCCTTTTAAGCAGGAATCACAGATACCACGCATCTTGGTGCCATTCCATTCATCAAGTCCCGTTGCACTTTTACCCGTAAGAAGTTCATTCGTTAAGTCCACTCCTGGATGGCCGAAACGTTCATGAAATAACGCGCCGTTTGGTATTCGAGGAATAAACACCGGCATTGCGAATTTAATGGGGTCTGAAAGGTCTTGATCGGGTAATATGAATCTACCTCGTAGAACGCAAAGTCGGTTTGTGACATCGGCGATAAAGTACTGGTCTGTATTCGAATGAATTTGGACGATATGGGGTAGAATGGTGAAGGTGAAGCCATGTTCAAGCATTGCGCCTACGGAGATTAGCGACACTGGAGCATCTGGAGCAAACAAGCAATCATGCATTTCCAGTATTAATTTAGCATCCGTTCCCTCGATTTGGGTTTCGAAGTAACAGGTACCAGAAGCCTGAGTCGAAAGGATTCCAGAATTAGCAGTTTGTACGGCTGTGGCTCCGTCGACATTGTATGTATGGAAAAACCGTCGATCGTTGACAATATGATTGGTACATGCTGAATCCAGAAGTGTTTGTCTTTTCTGAACCAGTGAAGAGCATGCGAGGGGTTGGGCTTGTATCGAGGATTCAGTTGGCAAAGAAGAATCCGGGAATGTAGATAAGAGTGCAGCAAAAGGTTTAAGGCGACGCGCAGGGTAAGTGGAACGAACGGTTGTATTATTGGTGGGTAAAACAGTAGCTACATCAGGTACAGTATCCATATTCTCAATCTTCAAAGTCGTCGTCGTAGCACTCGAATTTGCAGTCGTGACATAAGCGGTTGGTTTCGTATTTGTTTTGGATAAGTTCTGTGTGTCCCGAGGTTTCTGAGGATCCGTCGGTTTATCGTTCGTGCCAGGTCCAGTCTTCTGAAATCGACGATTGTATGATCCACCCCCAGACTCTGAAAGGTCCAAGAGTTCACGGTTGCGGGTGTTCTCCAACCTAATCGCAAATTTGTCGAAGAGTTCCCTGTTTGGAATTACTCCTGGTGTATCGAATTCCTCCTCGAGAATTTGTTTGAGGTAAACATAGCGAGGACCAGATGGTAATTTCGAAATGTATTTGGATATCAGAGTGTCCCAAGGTATGTCGTAGCCATAGTTTCTCAGAGTGGTAAGAGTTGAACTCCATTTAAGGTTAAACTTCTCGATGTCCATGCTGTGAATTTGTGAAGTGAGGAGTTCATCCTGGATTCGAAGACATGCTTTGCGATCCGGTGCCGCTTGGTATGCTGCTTTCAGACGAATGTATATCTGTCTAGCAGTTCGACGTTCGCCGCGATCGTCAATCATAGGTGGAAGGTGATTTCGTGCTTCATCAGAAAGTCGTGCGGTAAGGATAGAAGATGTCCACCCGTCATTCTTATCCCATTTCAGCTTCGCCTCGATTTCCTTTTGTGTAGGATTATCCGATAGTACTGGTCGTAAGATGGGTGTGTTCCACTCCGTCCGTGGAGTTCCCGGAGATGGTTCCTCACATATGTGTCCAAGAACGAATCCGTCAGCGACCGCCTGCCATACACCTTCGTTCCATTTCACCCAGGATTTACGATCCTTAAGTGAGCCCGTATCTTTGATCGTCGCGAGGAACGTCGAATGAATGGACGAATATTCAATTTTGAATCGAGGGGTATTAGAGCGAGGTGGTTCAGGAGGAAAATGGTATGGGTAAGGATAAGGATATGGTTGGTTTGGATAATATACGGGATATGCTTGTTCCGCTGAAGGTGGAAGCTGGGCTGGAAACCATGGTGGGATCGTACGGGTCGTATTTGGTCTACTTTGGGAGATTCCATAAGGTTCATGGTGGAGATCCGTCATTACGGCTGGGGCGCTATGAAGGTCGTGGTGAAAGTTCAAGGATGGAGCCGAAATTCGATCCAAATCTACGAGCTGATGAGGCTGAGGTTGATGCACGATCTGCGAAGGAGCACGTTCGACGACAAGAGGAGAGCCAATGCGAGATGCGAGTTGGACAGGAGTGGCCGATGCTGGTGGGACCGAGACAGGTGATCGTAAGTAGTTGAAGAAAGGAAAAGGAGGAGAAATATTGGGAGTATAAGTTTCCATCAGGTTATTAAGTGAATTGGTTGGTGCAGGAGGAAGGGGACGAGGAACGTTAACAAGATTGTGGTTATGTAAGTTATTCTGAAAAGTAGGTACCCGAGTATGCCAAGTCTCTGAAACGGATTGCGGAAGTGTCTGAAGTGAAGGAAAAGAGGGAAGTGAAGGAATTATTGAACTACAATAGCTTTGAGAAAGAATGGGAGATGAAGGAAAGGTGATCAGATGTCCCGGTCCTGGACCAGTGGAAGACCGAGTTGGATTTGGAACGTGCATATATGCAGGTGAATGTTGGATTGGACGAAGAGGTGCGGAGACCGGCGTTTGGTAAGATGTCGATGGAGCGCAATCACGATGGATAGGATCCGTCAGATCCATCGGAGATCCCGTCGCGTCAGTATACATCCACGGAGGCAAGTATTCGCGAGGCAGTCGCGGTAAGCGAGAGTCAACGCGTCACTCCAGAAATTGTGAGCTATAAATTGGTTCTATACGCTCGACGTATAGAGTAAAGACCTAACAGGAAAAACCCATAACCTCTTAGAGGTCGAGTATCCTATACGATGAGCAAAACAAAAAGGAAGCCTCAGTGTCGAACCAAAATGGCAGTAACAGCTGGTATTTGTACCTATACGATGAGCGAAACAAAAAGGAAGCTACCTAGCTAGTAAGTATTGATAAGCGTAGGTACAAACGAGAGAGACTCACCCTCAGTGTCGAACCAAAATGGCAGTAACAGCTGAGGGTGGCGAACGTGCGAAAAACACTGTAAATACAGAGCGTCACGTGAATCCGGAGTGAATCGGCAAACATAGGGAAGGTACCTCCCAACAGGCTGACGACCCATTTGTAACCGAAATACACCAGGAACACTTCAGAGCATTAAAGAAGTTATGCACAGGATTAGAAGATGTACAGATAGTAGAAAGGCAATGGAGGTCAAGACAGGGATTATGGAGCGACTACATAGAAAGAGACACAAATTAATAACAGAAAATGAACGTAGAAAGACGAACGCAAGCAAAAAAAAGTTAGAAAGAGATGGAAGGGAAAAAAGAAAAAAGGCGCTTAACGTGTGAAAAAAATGCACGGGCGCTTGGCAAAGACGGGGTGGCAAAGGACCTAGCAAGCAAGGTGATATGGGGGTATAGCTCAGCTGGGAGAGCAGCAGACTGAAGTCCCAAAGTTCATACCACGTTCTTCTGAAGGTCCCGCGTTCGATCCGCGGTACCCCCAATATAATATGATATGATATGTTGATTAGGAGGAGGAGGATGAGTTTTTGGGTGAGTTTTATAAAGTTTTGAGTTGATATCCTTCTTTAGTTGTTTGTTTGTTTATTTTTTGCTTCGTTTGTTTGAATTCTTTTGTTTTCTTATTTCCTTTTTGATTCCTTCCTTCTTTCATTCTCTCTCTCTCTTCCTTCTTCTATTCCTCTAATTTCAAATTTATTCCTCCCACATATCCAGATTCCATCCATCCTTGAACTTTATTTATCTTTGACCTTATTTAAACACCTACTGCCCTGCCCATTCATTTGTATCTATCTATAACCATTGAATCCCTTTTCTTGCAATAAACTGTAAACTGTAAGTAGACATCACTAGACATCACCAGATGTGCATATTGCCAGAACAGAGAAATATGTCATTTTCATATTGGGCATTGAGCGCTGTGCTATGCTAATGCAAAGACTGTGAAATTCATGCCCAACCACTAACACAAAATCCAACTGAGCCAAAAGGCTACTATGACAGGATACTTGTCATAGGTAGTTGGGACTATATATACCACATGTATTAAGACCTGTCTGCATGATCTTAACAAAGACTGTCAAGACCATGCCTCAGTGCCCCACTCCGCTGCTTGGTACTCCGAGATCTGCCCTTTTATTGTAATCTCTTCCTTATTGTTCTTTCTCACTACACATACCCATTCATTCTAGTCTCTTCTTATTGTCTTATTCTCTACCCTGATAGTTCTGGCAGAACAGCTCTCATGCCAGTCCCAGTCCCAGCCACCCGCTCCCACACTTCCTATCTCATGTACCTCATGATCTCTGTACCTCCCCAGAACAGTACCACCACCTTCCTCTATCATCCCGGTAACGAGCTTGCCTCATTTTTGTGTGAAAGAGAAAGGAAGGAATCTAATGGGCACTCCAACCAACCAATCTAATACACAATATGCGAGTTCACTGCTATCAAATTTATTTAATAGCAAAGGGTAGCGTTGGCAAAGGTTCCGCAAAGCTTTGAGAGCTAAGTAAGAAGCTTTGATCAATCTATTTGAATCGTTCTAAGGATTCAATATATTCCTTTGATCAAGGTAGATTCAGCACGATTCGTGCTTGGGTTGTATTGATTTGGGTATATCAAGAATTGGGGGTTTGAATCAAAGAAAATTAAAACTGAAACACACAGACCCCTACAGAGGGCTAGAACTATGTGCTGGCACAACCACACAGTGTGATTTGCCCTTAAGACCAACAACTGATCCTAAGTTCAAAGAATACCCAACAACTGGATATACTTCTCGCAGTCACAAGGAGCAGAACACGACGTTCCTATACTCACAAGTGCCGGGCCCGAATGGCTGCTAGCAAAGAGGTTTCAGTCTGGCGGGAGTGTGTCTTTCCTTTTTACGGATTAGCACTGCAATGTCGTCCCAAAATCACTTGTATTCCAGATACATCGGATCGCTATTTATACATACAGAATATAGAGTCGCACAGTACAATTAATTTAATACAATAAACATTCAGAACTGCAAGGAAACTTCTACACTCGGTCAGATATCATTTAATTTAAATCTACACGTCCTTATTTGGTCCATAATTGGTTCCAAGATTCAAGTGTACCTCCAAACATAGGTAGGTACTTCGTTATTCATTTAATTTAATTGTTTTGGAGAATGACTCGAATGGTGTTCAACTGTCATTGCGGTTCAACACTTACTTCGATCGTTTGTCACCTCGTCCGGAGGCAAATCAGCTCTCCTTGATTCTAATCCTATCAATCTGATTCATCTGGATTAAACTAATTGCTTCTCTCTTTCAATAGACACCCATTGTGCCTATACTCTATCAAGGGAGTTACGCATAGTATTCATTTAATTGCTTTCTTCAATATTTTCTACGTCAGGACTCTTTGACATTCATTTGATATGTTTTCGGAGCCTTGCAGTACTTCGATCATTCTTCTAGTCATTTTCTTTAATCATGCAACCGTATTGGTCTATTAGACTAAATCGCAGTCTTTTAGATTAATGCATGATCTCGTTCTAGAAGGAGTATTTGATAATTCCTGAGTTCTAGAAAGTCATTTCGAGTCAATCCTTGGTTCATGGTCACTTGAGTAAGTTCTTCCAAGCTCCTGCCAGTGTAAGGTCCAATAAGAATACCCTTGGTATGTCATACGTGAATGGTCATCCTTTGGATGTAGTCCGAGTCTGGTATCATCCTGCTTGACAAACAGGTAGACTGCTATCTAAAGGTAGTATCGGGGATGGGTAAACTAACCAACCTGTGGTAGTATGGGTATATGGTCCGTTCAACTTATTAGACTGATTCAGTATTGACTTTGACTGTCAATCTGGGTCTTAATTACAGTCCTCTTGATACAAATCTATGCGTGAAAATGTCACCATTCACTGCATAGACGTCTAGCCAAAATTTAGGCATGTCACCGTTATGCCGCTAGTCCCCGGAGATCAAGAGTACAGGAGAGAGAGACCAGTAGCAGCCAAGTTGGAGCGGCGGTATTGCCGATGACAAGGAGCAAACCAGAGAACTGTAAGACCTGGGTCAGAATAGGTCTTAGGGTAGGTTTGGTATAGGGAGTTTATGTTGTAGCATGCTAGGAGCAGGCTGGAGCTCGAAGGGAGCCATGGGAACCGTGACCGAGGACAGGAATGACCTAGTAGTAGATAAGTTGGAGAGATGTGACCTGTCATGCCCTGACTACAACCAGACCAATCTCAGTACCCGTCATACGTTGTCATACATCCTATCCACATCCTGTCCCCCCTCTACACCTCCCTATACCTCCCCAAGTACCACCATGCACTTCCCCAAGCATTGTAACCCAAATGTCCTCCACTCCGACATGCATACAAGACCCTCCTAACTGCCAACCCCTATAAGTACTAATCTAGATTACCTCCCTCCCTCGACTAAGCTGCCTCATGTCTCCAGATGTTCTCTTGTTCACTTCCCGTACCTATTTAAGTAGCGCCGCAATGTCCTGAATCCCCAGCTTGGTATATTTTGAACACACACCCTTTACATAGGTCCAGTCCCTGTCCCTTTGTACCTGCTAACCATACAGAATTCTCTCTACTCTCTGTTTCTCTATCTCAGTTTCTCTTTACTCTCATCTACTATTTCGACGATTGTCTACGCGATCCAATATATGCTTGTACCTCATGTCTAAGCAATCCGAGTGAGTCTCCGAGCTCCCTTGAACAATACTAAAGCTCCCCAACGCCTAATGCCTTGGAGAGCTAACCTCCCCAACACCTAACGCCTGTCAAGTCCATGCCTCGGGCCTCCATTCCGCCGCTCGGTACTCCGAAGATCTACCTTTATTGTAATCTTTACCTTATTGTTCTTTCTCGCTACACATACCCTTTCATTCTAGTCCCTCCTTATTGTCTTTTACTTTACCCTGCAGGACTACACGTATAACTCCTAGTAGCTAGGCTGGCGCTCCGCACCGTTGCGCCGCTCCGTAGATATAAATCCTGCTTGTACGCTACTGTAGTTCCTTAGTTTAATTATCGACTTAGATTCCCTCCTCAACTCTGTGCTCCTCTAAGTCTTCAGGCTCACTGCCTTGAAGTACTCTCTACTCTACCTTAGGACTTATACGTTCTTTGGTTCGCTCCTCGTCACCGGCGATACCGCCGCTCCGACGTGGCTGCTACTTAGCTCCTCCCTTCTACACTCTCGACCTCCGGGGACTAACGGCGTAACGGCGGTGTTGTTAATAACTTCACTACTGTCCCATTCATCTTCCGCACTTAGACACTCTGTGACCTTTGGCACGGTTACCCGGTGTGCATGATCTTAACAGTATAATTAAACTCAATCCGTTAACGTCGTACTGACATATCATTTTTATGCCTCCGAAAACTCGAGCTCAATCTAGAGCTAATTCCGAAGAAAATACTTTCTTCACAACAGCCCAATCTTTCGCCCCTTTCTCCGAATCCATCTCAGCCATTGGTCAACCACGTCGCCGTAATCGCGGTTTCGGTCCAGCTACAGTTCCAACTACGTTGACTCTTCCTGAAGCCATGGAAGAAGAACAGCAATTTGAGTACAGTACTTTGTTCACTAGTGACGGACAACCTGTCCAAGTCTTGACCCCCCGCTGTAGACAACCCCCCGTGGTCGCTCCGGCTCGGGGCCGATCTACTACTCGAATTGACTCTCCAATCCTCCAAGCCATCGCTCGCCGTACGGGTAAACAACCCCAACGCAGAGCAGCTTCTGAATCTCCTCGTGACCCACCTCCTCACTTCGAATTGGATACAGGTGATCACGATGATCAAGACCCTCCTGTCGACCCCGATGACCCGGGTGCCGACAACAATCATGACGACTGG